GCTCTGTTAAAAATAAATTACACGCAATTCTCTTGCATTTTGTGATGGAACAGTTATTTTACCTCGATATAGAGGAAAATAGAGTAATCAGTAATGGATTTCTTTAGAAATTTTGAAAATGAGGGATCCATTGACATCATCGAGTACCTGATTATTGGTTGTAAACGCAGCGGCGTATCTGTTGTCTGGACTCAGAACTAGATGTTGCATAATTCCCTCCACACCGGGATTTACGTCCCTGGTCATGTCACTGGTACTGAGATCCCAGGTGATAAACCGATTGGATATCGAGACCACATACCGATAATCCGACGTTAGACAAAAGCCAAATACGGCAAATTGATGACCCTCCAGCGAATACTAAAAGGTTTACGAGATCAGAAGAGCGTTTTCGTTTAATCGAGCAAGTTTGTCCAAGTACTTTCAATGGTCCTCCAGGTGTATGCAGGCAATGATAAACTGGAAGCAGGGAGCAATCCTTGACACCGTCGTTATCGCACGCTCGAAGCAGCATTTTCACGTTCACGTTCCCTCCGATTTCTGGCAATAATCGACCTATTAGCTGAGGTGCAAGCATGTCTGGATGAGAACCCAAAATTGCACCGCCTAACCTGAGTGCATCCGCAACCAGCATGAGCTCTCTGAAACAAAAGCAGTACTTGTTGCGATCTATGGATATTATTCAAACACTTCGGTTGGATTCTTCTATTCATTCTGGATCTATTACTGACACATTACCTCACGATGTTCTGATTATCAATGAAACTACACGCGTCTTCGAAATCCGAGAGCACTGATTGCAGTGGACAAGAACTCAGTTTGGCATGAAGCCATTCATAGTTGAACAAAACATTTTCAAACAGGTCGTTGAAACGTCGTGATCTGACTAGATGAAAGGGTAGCTCACCGAACTAGAATTACAGATAAATTAACTGATTTAAGAAAGTATTCGAAGCATTTGCATATACCTTTCTTAAATTATATCTAGTGATCTTTCCATCTTTTGAGTAAAATGCTAGAGGTTGCTCGGGTACTTTTCTGTCTGCCACTCCTTCTTTGTCTGCCAAATTAAACCTGTAAATTTAACTGGAGTGTATCGAAGTTTGAAGCAACATTCCAAGGAAACATTCCAAGAACGTTCCAAAGGAAATAATCATCTACCTATGTCTCTGAATCTCAGTATATTTGAACGGTTTGGGTCGTCCACCTCCCCAGATGCCAAGATAATAATCAGCGATCATGGAATGAAAATACATGGCCATGTTCATATTCTTAAAATATCTTTCCTTAGCCGTGTCTCTGAATTGTCTGTGGTACCAGTTAAGAACACTGACACCATCTGCCTCCCTTTCGCTCAAATAATTAGGCAAATCGTTGCGTATCCTGGTCCAGAGCAAAGGGGGAATTCTCCTTACTGGAGGTAAATGGTACTGGTACACATCATCCAGCACCTTGTCGTCCAACGAAATCAAATCTTCGAGTTCAGACTCTGACAAGCCTGATTTAGCAGCAGTGATGTAAGCCAGTGCATGGAACACCAGGATTTTTCCATGTTGCTTTTCGATTCTTTCGAAAAGCATCATAATACTGTCCATCACAGTGCACGTTAAATGAGTATCCGCTGGCTTTGTATAGCTCCTCCATCTGCAGATTTCTGCGAACACCAGTTTCACAAAGATCGGTAAGGAGCACTTGGATATGGCATTTGCCACAAGACGCCATTGATAATTGTTCAGATCTCTATGGGCTGTTTTCATCCACATCCTGTAACAGCGAATATTTTTTCAAACATTACAGAAATATCTCGAAGACACTTGTCACTACCTTATCACTTCCATGGCAAGATCTTCGCCGAGAGCAACGACTTCGATGAAGTTTTCTTCGGTATCTATCATCCTCCTCAGTAACTGATAATCTCGAGAGATCACGGGATTCGATTCCTCAGCGGCACAGGACAAAATCATCTAAAAATTCCTCGATACCGTCAATTCAATTCCAATTGGTTTGTGATCAGTATCGTACCTTACAATTCACTGGAAGCCTAGTAGGCAGCCATGACAATTTATTCCCTTGTACTCCAGTTAATTGATCCACGCTGTCCAGGAATAATAAAATCGGCTGTTCAGTCGTTGCTAAAGTTAACAAGTATTTGAAGTAAGCAGTCAGGGGTACCAAGTCATCAGGAATCTCATCGAACGGCAACATGAAGTTATAAGAGATCTACGGAGGAAACAAGACCCATTAAGTTCGTCGTTTGATTATTCGTAATGTATTATATTCGACTACTTGCCTGTTGACAAATGGAAATTAACGTAGGTGTCAGTGCACTGCTGTCTGGCGTGGTGCCAAGAAATCGAATTATGTTGATTGGTTTTTTCCCAGTCAGCCACATGCTGCTCGTCAATCCTGCACTCTTTGCTAGCAAAGACGTCTTCCCACATCCGCCCTCTCCGTACAATACCAAAGGCTTGTCGCTGTCACCTAGCATATACTCCTTAATTCTTTCCAAGGTATCTTCTCGTCCATAAAACACCTGGTAATTTTTTAATCTATGTAGTATCTTTGACTCACGAGAATTTCTGATAAATTTACCTTCACCGAGTTGTTACAGGCATGTAAATGTTGCAAAATCTCCGTTATGATCTGTCCCTGTGCCGAACTGTCTTCCTTCCTCATAGCACGATCTACCAACTTCACTATGTTTCGATAGAAATGAGTTATAAAGTGCTGAAGGTACTCGCTGTGAGTCTCTGGATCCAGACCTTCTCGACCGATCCATTCTACCGTGTATCTTTAAAAAGGAAAGCGTAAGGAAAAATTGATTTCAATTTGACGATATAACATGTTCTTTTTCATGAAAAGAAATACCTTTGCAGGTTTGTAGTCTCGATCTTATCTGGAAGTCTTTCATCTCTCAAGTTCGCTAACAGCTTGGAAGCTTCGTTATCTAAGCTTCTATTAGCGATATCCAAGAATAAGCTTGCTTTTCTCAAATTTTGTAGATTGATGTTGTTTATGTATCGTATGTATGCCAGGCAATGATTTTTAGTATTTTTCACATTCAAGATACCATTGATCACTTCCCTTTCAGTGACTTAATAAGAAATACGAATTAACGTGGAGGAATATCGTGAAGGGGCCAGCTTCTTTTACACATACCTGACATGAAATAATTATGCATAGTGTCTTTGTCAAATTTCCCATTGTTGAACAGAGACTGTGCTCCTTTTCGAAACAACTTTTGCATCTTCACCATGGTGTCCCACCAAATGGCCTGGTCCTCTTGCTGCAGCTTTGGTATCCTCTAAATCAAGGGACGATTTACGTATTTTAATGTTGAGATATTTATCTTTTAGATGGCGAGGAAACTCGATTACTTTATTGTTAAAATTTTTCAAAATCGACGATATTGGTTGCAAGATACTGGTTGGTGGAACTGCGTTGCTGTCCTTTTTGTACCATTTATCCAAGAGACCGACATCCATTCCTTGGCCTTCCAGTTCCGTCCTCAGCATCTCTAATTCCGAGCTAAGAACATACGTTGGAATAGGACGATAACCGTACTTCTGACCAAGGAATACCTTAAAAGAATTTTAAAGAACGCTTCATGCTCGACATTCCCAAAGTACAAATTTGTAAAATGAAATTATTCATTTAAATTATTTTGTACCACGAAATTCGGACCCATCGAGAGCCTCTGGCAATTTTCTATCTCCCTCATACATAGTTCTGTGGTCATATGATCGTCGGTGGCCTCGTCTCGTACACCCCATCTCATATCAACCACCTGGAATTGCATCGCTTAAATGGTTGCGTTTCTTTCGTTCGTTCCATTTCCCCCGATTTAAATTTAGAATCTATCAAACCACAATATTCGAGCCGTGGAAAGTTTTATCTGTGCGCGTCAGAATTCGTGCCTGGCACGATAGAAATCAATTCTTTCTTCAAGGTCGACAAATAACGCTTATGTAATGCAGATTTTGGCATCCTTTATCTATACGTATACTGGTGCAACGCGCCACATTTTTCAGATATATAATACATAAATAATAACAAGTAATCGCGATTATCACGATTGTAATTCTTGCTTCAGGCTACAAGTCTTATAATTAATTATTCGAGAATTACCTGGAACTCTAATCCATGCTTCTCTCTGCAATAATCCTTAAGCTTAGGATAACATTGCGCCATTAACGTGTTTCGCTCCATCGTCGTATCTGAATGAAGATAATTCTCGCGTTAAATAAAATGGAGACTTACGATTACATCGCACGATATTTCGACTTACCAGTGAAAGTAGAACTCGTAAATATCCTGACGATTTTCGAGCTAACAGCTGGCAGAGACTTCAAAGATCCCGCGAAGATCGAGTCAATGGTACTTTCGTCCATTTCTTAATCTTTGATATTTCTTTTTCCAATTTTACGACGATTGTTTCTGAACAAATTTCTGTTTTGTCAGGTTGCCAGCAACATTGCAAAGGTACTGAGATCGTTCCCGGTATTTCGTGGCCCTTTATAGACTGTGGATATATATTCCTTCACCCCTAACATCTCCATGTATACTTCACCCCCTAGCCACGTGGTCCAATCAGCATGTCACACTGTACACTGTCTTTCAAATTTGAGTGCATTGTGTTACACGATCACCTGCGATATTATTATCAGTGAAAACGTGCGATTTATTTTGAAACATCAATTAAAGTGGCCGACAGGAAACGTCTAACTGGTTGCCAAGGGTTGTTTGCACCGCTCAAAATGTTCCTCATTGATTTCGGAGGCAGCTATGTAGTCTACGTTCTGCAGCTCGGAATTCCTTATTATGCGTTATTTATTATTAAAAATCATTTTCGATCTCATCGATCGATGAGGACAGTGATTCCGAATGGAAAAAGGAACGTTCAAGTTGCATTTTTGCGTAGGTTTTCTAATGGACCAGACTTAGCAGAAGTTGAACTTTTTGATTGAAGAATCAAAATGGCACCACCGGATCCAGTGACACAAATGAACACGTACAGATCGTACGTGACCATGCTGGCCGATCCAGTTTCAAAAGACGAATTGAAACTGAAGGCCGCTCAAGAATTGTCGGAAAATTTTGAGGTACCGCTCGACGATCAAATTGCATTTCTTTCGATTCTAAGAGTCGATTATCTTGGGCATGTTGAATAATTACAGGTCATCATGTGTTCCTCTCAATATCCGGCATTTCTTGACCATATGATGAAAATTTTTCTAAAGATACTTCAAGAGGGGGAACCACACTTTATATCGGAGTACAACATTCAGCAAGTGAGGAAGTTGATATTAGAAATGATACACAGATTACCTAGTAACGATTACCTGCGTCCGTATGTGAAGCAAATCTTGAGTCTGATGTCGAAATTATTAGAGACCGATAACGAGGAGAATGTTTTGGTCTGCCTGAGGATCATTATCGAGCTGCATAAGCAATACAAACCGACCTTTAATCCGGAAGTAAGTAGTCTAGTTCGAAATGTCTCTGACATTCTCATGAAATGTTTAACCCTCTGTCGTTCCGTCTATAGATACAATATTTTTTGCAATTCGTTAAATCGGTGTATAGCGAGTTACCAAAGAACCTACCAAAAATATTCGAGCCTCGGCCACCCCTCAGAGTGAAGGATTTGTCGGAAATAAATATAGAGGCACTTTTAAAAGAGACATTCACGATCACGGCTATACAGAGCGAGAAGAAAGCAGCAGATGGCACTGTCGTTACGGTAAGTATCCATAAAACTTTTCACTGCTCGTTAAAACGAAGTAGAATAATCCTGACGTTGAACCTGTTCTTTCAGTATAATCTGATTCCCAAGGCAGTATTGTCACTCAAAGTACTGCAAGAATTACCTATCATAGTTGTGCTTATGAATCAGCTGTATAAGCAAAACGTGCACCAGGATGTCTCTGATTTCATCCCCCTAGTGATAACAACTATAACTTTGCAACCGAGTCCTCAGCATCGAGCATCCCCTGGATTCAATAAAGAGGTCTTCGTCGATTTCATGGGTGCACAGATCAAAACACTATCATTTTTGGCGTACGTTATCAGGGTCTATCAAGATGTCGTGTCTCAGCACAGTTCGATATTGGTGAAAGGAATCCTAGGTTTGTTCACACTGTGCCCCATGGAAGTGGCACACCTACGAAAAGAGCTAGTAATCGCGTCGAGGCACATATTGGCTACGGATCTTCGAAATAAATTTATACCACATATGGAGTGCTTTTTCGATGAAGATATATTTATTGGACGAGGCTGGACCACTCATGAATCCCTCAGACCGCTGGCATACTCGACACTCGCGGATCTAGTTCACCATGTTAGATTGTTGTTACCATTGAGCGATGTATCTAGAGCTGTGCATCTTTATAGTAAGAATTTGTTGGATCAGAGTCTTCCAACAGCTGTCCAGATGGTTTCTTGTAAATTGTTGATGAACCTAGTGGACACTGTGAGGCAAAGATCCGACGCTGAGAACAGTACTCAGGGTAGGGAACTGTTGATGCGAATTCTCTTGGTATTTGTCTTAAAATTCAAAACGATAGCGAAGATCTATATACCAATTCTGCGTAACAAGGCTAAGCAGATGACGCCTCCTGGCTTGGACATCAAGACGGAAGACGTGAAACCGGTTGTCCCGGATCTAACCGAGGAGAAGGAAACAGGGAAGTCGAAATTCGGATTTCCTTCTTCCCAAGCTATGAGCTACAACGTTGCCGATTATAGAAACTTGGTGAAAAGTCTGGTACACGGTGCGAAAGCTATCACAGCGAATTGTATCAATAGTAAAACGGGTGAAGTGACGCAGGCTAATCAGTTCCAGACGAAAGAGACTCTTGTGTATATTAAATTGGTAAAGTGGGCATTGCCAGCGTTGGATATTTATACGATAGGTCCTCCTACGATTGGGGCTGTCGCGCAACAGGGTAGGCCAGCCCAGTCTCAAACGATACGAACTAGAGAAGAGAAAGAAGTGCTAGAACTTTTTGGAAACGTTTTTACTCAGATGAATCCGCAGACATTCCAGGAAATATTCTCGACCTCCATCGACTATATGGTTGAGAGGATCTTCAAGAATTGTGCGTTACAAATCATCGGAAGTGCCTTCCTATCTAGTCCCACGATATCGTCCACATTTGCAACGATATTAGTCGAATATTTATTAGAGAGAATGGGTGACATGGGATCCAACGTGGAAAGAAGCAATTTGTACTTAAGACTTTTTAAATTAGTTTTCGGCAGTGTGTCGCTTTTCCCCGCTGAAAATGAACACATGCTGAGGCCACATTTAAACCAAATCGTCAATCGAGCTATAGAATTAGCCATGTCAGCGAAAGAACCCTATAACTATTTTCTTTTATTGAGAGCTCTTTTCAGATCTATCGGCGGTGGTTCTCATGATCTCTTGTATCAAGAATTCTTACCCTTACTTCCGAATATGTTGGAAGGCTTGAATAGACTGCAGTCTGGTTTACACAGACAACATATGAAAGACCTGTTCGTTGAACTATGCCTGACAGTTCCTGTGAGACTCAGCTCGCTTCTACCTTATTTACCGATGCTAATGGACCCACTGGTTTCAGCTTTAAACGGAAGTTACTGCTTGGTTAGTCAAGGATTACGAACCCTCGAGTTATGTGTAGACAATCTTCAGCCTGATTTCCTGTATGAACACATACAACCTGTACGAGCTGACTTAATGCAAGCACTTTGGCGGACTTTGCATAATCCCACTGATCAAGCCCACGTAGCATTTCGAGTTTTGGGCAAATTCGGCGGTGGCAATCGGAAGATGATGATCGAACCACAAAAATTGGAATATAACGATCGGGAAACGAATTCACCAGCTATCGTCGTCTATTTTCAGGAACCTACGAAACCAATCGATTTTCCCGTAGAGAAAGTAATCGAGACCGCATTCAATGCCTTAAAGTCTAATAGTACTGACTCATTTTATCGTAGACAATGTTGGGAAGTGATTAGTTGCTATTTAGCTGCGTCACTACGATTGGACGACACCAATGCTATTTTACATAAATTATTTATGCATCCTAGTTTCAAAGAGGGTAAAATTTCCCATCAACGAGGACCTCATTATCAGTGTCCAGACACTGTTGCTAGAAACGTTCAACAAACTGCTTTGACCGGTTTGTTCGTTGCCGCAGAGATCAAAGAATTGAGGCATTCTGTATTAGGCACTGTGGTGTCGATAGTGAGGCATTACACTATGGTGGCCATAGCGCAACAAGCTGGTCCATTTTGTTTAACTGGGAGACAGATTCGTATGCAAGGACAAGATCCTCTCGTGTTAATTGATGCTCTGGCTGTTATAATGGGACACGAAGAGAAAGAATTATACAAATCCGGACATCTAGCCTTAGTTCTAATTCTTGAAACTGCAACCAACATTCTTGGCTCAAAGGAACGAGCATGTCAGTTACCTCTAATGGAATACTTGGCAGAGAAGATGTGTTCCCTATGCTACGAACGTGCCTGGTACGCGAAATTAGGCGGCTGCATCGCTATTAAGTTTTTGTTTGAGAGAATGGCGACTAAGTGGGTGCTCAATCATCTGTTTGTGTTTCTGAAGGCTCTAATGTTTGTCATGATGGATCTGACCGAAGAAGTATCGAACGGTGCTATAGATATGGCCAAGGCAAACTTGGAGAAAATGCTGAGAGTTTGTGTGAATCCTGGCATTCAGGACGGGAATACGGAATTGATAGAGGCACAGAACAAAAGTCTGTACGAAGTTACTCATGAATTAGTAAGGCAAGTGACTTCGCCACACACTCTTGTACGAGAACAGGCTATGTCTTCGTTACGATTGCTCGCTGAAATACAGAACAAAACGGTCACTGAAGTAATGGAACCGCATAAGGAGGTCCTGGCAGACATGATCCCACCCAAGAAACATTTGCTTAGACATCAACCGGCGAATGCTCAGATCGGTTTGATAGATGGAAACACGTTTTGTACCACGTTGAATCCACGTCTCTTCACAATCGATTTAACAGAACACGATGTGTTCTTTCAGGAACTTTTAGCACTCAGCGAGGCAGAGGATGCCAATCTCAATAAACTACCTTGCTACAAATCCGTCTCGAACCTCATACCTCTCAGGAAATCGGCTCTGAGAGCTTTAGCTGCCTGTCATTACATCGTGGCCTGTCGTGAAAGGATTTTTGGTGTTTTGTACAAAGCTTTGGAGAAACCGAACGCAGAGTTACAAGAAGCAGCCTTTGAATGCATGCAGAAGTTTATAGCTGGTTTCCAAATTGACATGCAATCCGTCCACGCCATTATGCGTTTTCCTGCTGCCACTCCGATATTCATCGACATTCTATGTAGACTCGTTTTGCAAACAGAGAAATCACTAATGGTGGAAGTGTCCAGTCCATTCCGTATTCCTTTGATGAAGTTCTTACTGCGATACCCCACGGAAACGTTGAATTTATTTTTACACGATAACAACATCAAGGATCAACAATGGAGCAGATACTTGGAGTTTCTCATTAAACAGAAAGATGGAAAGCCATTTCGTGATGTATTGCAGGGTAGCACAACGAGATTAATAACCATGCTACTCGCACATTCTCAGACTAGTTCGAACCTAAGCCATAACGAAAAGAGCGAACTTCAGCATCAAGCTATCAAAATTATTGCTATCCTGATTAAATTCGACGAGCAATGGCTCTCAACACAGAGTCAATTGGTAGGTGCGTTAAAACAGATTTGGTGCAACGACGATTATCAAGCTTTGCACAAGAAAGTGGAAAGCGTAGAGTATTGTCACTGGAAAGAACCCAAACTTATCGTGAAAATCTTATTACACTATTTCCGCCATCATCCAAACGACATTGATTTATTATTTCAATTATTGAGAGCAACTTGCGACAGATTTATTCCTGATTTTCAATTCTTACGAGACTTCTTGGAACACACTGTGGCACAAGAATATACAGTCGAATGGAAACGAAGCGCTTTCTTCAGATTCGTCGATCATTTCCCAACGAATAATTTATCTCAGGAATTAAAAGCCAATGTGTTGCAATTAATTATAATTCCTTGCTTTGCCGTAAGTTTCGAACGAGGTGAGGGCACGAAATTAATCGGAGGAGCGCCCATGCCTTATCAAGACAATCCAGAAAACGTCGTTTCTGTATTCATCAGCAAAATCATTGATCCGGACAATCCATTTGGTTCTGCGGATTGTGTTCGTATCTCGTTACTGCAATTTTCTTGTCTTTTAGTGGAACAGGCTTCTCAACATATCCACGATGTCAGTAATAAAAGACAAGGTAATAAATTGAGAAGACTGATGACTTTTGCGTGGCCCTGTCTTTTAGGCAAAAACTGCGTTGATCCTACGACAAGGTACCATGGTCACTTGCTACTCAGTCACATAATCGCCAAGTTCGCCATACATAAAAGGATAGTTCTACAAGTTTTTCACAGTCTTCTGAAAGCTCATGCATTAGACGCGAGAAACGTGGTGAGACAAGCGTTGGAAATTCTAACTCCTGCTATGCCTGTCAGAATGGAAGATGGTAACACGATGCTGACACACTGGACTAAGAAGATCATCGTGGAAGAGGGACATTCTATGCAACAATTGTTCCATATTCTTCAGCTGGTAGTCAGGCACTATAAAGTATACTATCCCGTTAGACATCACCTGGTTCAGCATATAGTGAACTCGATTCAGAGACTAGGGTTCAGTCCAACTGCCACCATAGAACACAGAAGATTAGCTGTTGAGCTAGCAGAAGTGATCATCAAATGGGAATTACACAGAATCAAAGACGAAGTAGAAAGCAACGAATCTGGTGGTAACAAAACAATCATGGGATCCATAAAAAGACCTATGAACGAAGATCCAACTGGAACCAAACGTATGACCACACAAGCAGCAACGGGAAGTGCCACAGTTCCAGTTATCTTGCCCAGAATGGAACCAGGATCCACGAAACCCATCGAAAGGGCTCACGCTGATGCAATTTTGAATTTCCTGCTTCGTTTGGCTTGTCAGGTGAACGATGTTACCACGATTCATGGCAACCCAGGTGAACAACTTTCTAGACGTTGCGTGGCTTTGTTGAAAATGGCATTGAAACCCGACGTCTGGCCACAATCGTGTGATCTCAAGTTGGCCTGGCTAGATAAAGTTCTGGCTAGCGTAGACAGTGCTCAACCTAATTATGGTAATATCTCCACAGCTTTAGAGGTCCTGACATTTCTTTTGGGTGTCATGAAAAGGGAGCAGATTTTGGCAAGTTTTAAGCCTTTGCAACGAGGCATAGGTACCTGTATAGCAAGTAGCAATACCAAAGTTATTCGTTTGGTTCACGGATTATTATCTCGTTTGATGACCATATTCCCGGCAGAGCCAACTTCCTCGACAGTTGCTTCTAAGTACGAGGAATTGGACACTTTGTACACTACTGTTGGTAAATTTATCGTGGATGGCTTGGCGACATACGAGAAGAACACTACAGCTACTCCAAGCACGTTATTTGGCACGTTGATGATGTTGAAGGCAGCCTGTACAAATAATCCGAGTTACATCGATCGGCTTATAACACCTTTCATGAGAGTTCTTCACAGAATGGCCAAGGACCACTTGCATTCGGCTCAAGCAGAGGCCAATCCAGTTGGTAGCGAATTGTTAATCTTAAGTTTAGATCTGGTGAAGAATCGCGTAGTTGTGATGGGCGTGGAAATGAGGAAGACATTCATAGGCTCGATTCTAGTCGGATTAATCGAGAAAACGCAAGATATAAAGGTGATGAAGGCGATCACAAAGATGCTCGAGGAGTGGATGAAAAGTAAGAACCCTATCGCGATAAACCAAGCGCCTAGCTTACGAGAAAAGTCGATTCTTCTTGTAAAAATGATGCAGTATGTGGAGAAACGTTTTCCCGACGATTTAGAATTGAACAGGCAATTTTTAGAGCTGGTTAATTACATCTATAGAGACGAAACCTTGAAGTCGTCAGAATTGACATCGAAGCTAGAACCTGCATTTCTATCTGGCTTAAGATGCATTCAGCCCCAGATACGAGCAAAATTCTTCGAAGTGTTCGATGGATCCATGAGGAGACGACTTCACGACAGGCTTCTTTACATTATTTGCAGCCAAAGTTGGGACGCGATAGGCCCTCACTATTGGATCAAGCAATGCATCGAATTACTCCTCGTCACTGCTAATTCTACTACTCAGATACAGATGTCCAATCAGGATACTTTGTTACCAAGTATAACGTCTGTGATAAATATGGCGGACAGCGAGGAGCACAAGAACTTTATAATATATAGCTCCATAAAAGAAGAGCCTCAGGACATTTCGGAAACAGCTGATGTAAAAGACGAGATTCTAGATATGGACTTGTCCAACATAGATTCAACCACTGTCCCAGAAGAAATCATCACTACTGGGAAGGCAACCTTAACGCAGTTAATCGCCAAACAAGGAGAATTTATAGAGTATGCTAAGAAGATCAGAACGGAACAATTGTTATTGGCTACAGCTCAGCTTTGTCATATGGATACGAATTTAGCAGAGCGCGTTTGGCTAGATACTTTCCCAAGAATCTGGAGCATTCTGGATGAGCATCAGCATAACACCTTGATAGCTGAAGTAGTGCCATTTATTTGTAGTGGTACTCACGTAATTCAGAAAGATTGTCACCCCAGTGCTATAGCTACGTTTGTCGAGGCAATTTCACATTGTAATCCTCCAGTACCTATGAGACCTGCACTGATGAAGTACCTGGGTAGATCACATAATCTTTGGCATAGGATGACCCTAAGTTTAGAGCAAATGGCATTTGACAATGGAAACAATCAGTTCAAGATTAAAAGAGAGTCAGACTGCTACGATTTTGAACCTGACAATAGTCCTCATGCTGAGATTCTGGATTCACTATCTGATATGTATTCTTTGTTATGTGAAGAAGATATGTGGTCAGGTCTCTGGCAGAAACATGCCCATTATAAAGAAACTTTGCAAGCCACTGCACTAGAACAACAAGGGTTTTTTGAGCAAGCTCAAGGAGCTTATGATGTAGCAATGACAAAATTCAAACAGGACTATGTATCAACACCAGCTCCTTTTAAAATACAACGAGAAGCGATGCTCTGGGAACAGCATTGGATAAGGTGTGCAAAGGAGCTGAATCAATGGGACTTGTTATTAGATTATGGTAGTAAAAAAGCAGAGAAAAATCCTTTCTTAATCTTGGAAAGCTCTTGGCGTATTCCTAATTGGACAATGATGAAGGAAGCTCTTGCTCAAGTGGAGCACAATTGTCCAAAGGAAATGGCTTGGAAGGTAAATCACATTTTCTTCAATCATTTGAGTAAGTTGGGCGAAATATGATTAATTTCTCCAAAAATTGAATTTTCACAGGTGAATTTGTATCGTGGTTTCTTGGCCATATGTAACAGCGAGGATCAACACCTAAACGCAGTAGAACGATACGTAGAACTGGCTTCCGGTTTATGCATGCGTGAATGGCGTAGACTACCTCATATCGTAAGCCACGTACATTTGCCATTACTCCAAGCTGCTCAACAAATTATGGAACTTCAAGAGGCAATGCAGATTCACCAAGGATTGTTACACGGAAGAAGCACATCATTGCACGATATGAAAGCCATAGTGAAGACTTGGAGGAATCGATTGCCCGTGATAGCTGATGACTTGAGTCACTGGTCAGACATCTTCACCTGGCGTCAACACCATTACACATTTATCTCAAGCCATTACGACTCGCAACAAGATCAAACGACCAATCACTCGATGCTCGGTGTTCACGCTTCCGTCCAAGCAATCATTCACTTTGGCAAAATAGCCAGGAAGCATAATCTCTGCGGCGTGTGTCTGGATTCTTTGTCGAGGATCTACACAATACCTAGCGTCCCTATCGTTGACTGTTTCCAGAAAATTAGGCAGCAAGTAAAGTGTTACTTACAGATGGCGTCAGTTAGCGGGAAGAATGAGCTGCAAGAAGGTTTAGAGGTGATCGAATCGACGAACTTGCGATACTTCACTAAGGAAATGACCGCAGAATTCTACGCTTTAAAAGGAATGTTGTTATCACAGATAGGTAGATCCGACGACGCGAATAAAGCCTTCTCAGCCGCTGTTCAATTGCACGATACATTAGTGAAAGCTTGGGCTTTATGGGGTGATTATTTGGAGCACATCTTCACCCGTGACGCGCGTCAGATTTCCATTGGAATCTCTGCAATCACTTGCTTCCTTCACGCCTGTAGGCATCAAAATGAATCAAAGTCTAGAAAATATTTGGCAAAGGTTCTATGGTTGCTCACTTATGATGATGATAAATCCTCTCTGATGGAAGCTGTAGACAAATACGCTGTAGGAGTTCCTCCTATTCAGTGGCTACCCTGGATACCTCAGTTGCTGATGTGCTTGGTCAGACACGAAGGAAATGTCATTCTAAATCTACTAAGTCAAGTTGGAAGAATGTTCCCACAAGCTGTATATTTCTCCATCAGAACTTTATATCTCACACTAAAGATCGAACAACGTGAAAGGTATAAGAGCGCAGAGTTAGCTGCTGGAAAAAATCAAGAAGGTGTGGAAGGTCGTGGAGCTGCGGGGAACGTACAGCAACAAGGTGTATCTGAAACGGGACCAATTCGAGCTACACCGCCTATGTGGAGGTGCTCGAAGATCATGCATATGCAAAGAGATATTCATCCTACTATTTTGTCTAGCTTAGAAGGCATTGTAGACCAAGTTAGTTACATTGTATAAATTATTCCGTTCTTGTATGTTCACAAATAGTTGATTGGCATAGCCTTAATTAAATTTTGATTTTTCAGATGGTCTGGTTTCGAGAAACTTGGTACGAAGAAGTTCTGAGGCAATTAAGACAAGGTCTTGCTAAGTGTTATGCGATAGCATTTGAAAATCGTGGCGCTGTGAGTGAGGCAACCATAACACCACACACGTTGAACTTCGTGAAAAAACTAGTCTCAACTTTTGGCATAGGAATTGGTAAGTTTCGGCACCAAGTTTATACAAATATCTAATTATTAGAATCTGTTAAAGAAGGATTTTTTAAATCCCAGAAAATATATCCTCCTCTCAAAATGTGAACAACACGTTCGGCTCGGCGGCTTCAGAGTCTCTAGCACGTAGAGCTCAGGCTACCGTCCAAGATCCCGTTTTCCAGAAGATGAAAGGTCAATTCAAAAGCGACTTCGACTTCACTGTACCTGGGGCGAGATTACTTCACAACCTAATCAGCAAGCTGAAAAAGTGGATCAAGATTTTGGAAGGAAAGACAAAGCAATTACCAAAGTAAGTAATTGCACGATTGCATGTAATTGTATAACAAAGTGAATATAAATCACTAATTAAAGTAATATCGAGCAGGTCCTTTTTAATCGAAGAGAAGTGTCGATTTCTTAGCAACTTCAGTCTGAAAACTGCCGAAGTGGAACTTCCAGGCGAATTCCTATTACCCAAACACTCTCACTACTATGTGAGGATAGCCAGATTCATGCCAAGGGTTGAAGTTGTCCAACGACATAATACAGCAGCAAGAAGATTACGTATTCGTGGACATAATGGACGTTTATACCCTTACTTGGTCGTCAACGATGCCGGTTTGGGCGATGCGAGACGTGAGGAACGCGTTTTACAGTTGCTGCGGATGTTGAATCACTATCTGGCTAAACAAAAAGAAACCTCGAGAAGATTTTTACATTTCACTGTTCCTCGCGTGGTCGCAGTTTCGCCACAAATGCGTCTAGTCGAGGATAATCCTGCATCTGTCTCTTTGCTAGACATTTACAAACAAGGCTGTGCGAAATTAGGTATAGAACATGATGCACCTATAGCTAGGTATTACGATAGGTTGGCGACGGTACAAGCTAGAGGTGCACAAGCAAGTCACCAGGTTTTAAGAGACATATTGAAAGAGGTACAAACAACGATGGTTGCTAAAACCATGCTTAGAGATTGGGCAGTAAAAACGTTTCCTGGTGCAACAGACTATTGGACTTTCAGAAAGATGGTAATATTATTTATGCTAACCAATAGAAATTTAATTTTGTTATATTATTCTATGTATAAATACCTCTATTTTCTTTTGCATTTTACAGTTTACTCTACAACTATCTTTGACCTGTTTCGCGGAGTACGTGCTTCATCTAACAAGGTTGAACCCGGATATGATGTATGTGCATCAGGATTCGGGTCTAATCAACATTGCTTACTTTAAGTTTGACGTTGATGACACATCCGGCGAGTTGGATGCCAATAGACCAGTTCCCTTCCGGCTGACACCAAATATTCTGGAATTCCTTACGAGTACAGGTACGTGTAATCTACATAACGTTACTATATTTATGAATATTATAAAGTACTTGAAAAATCATCCTTCGTATGTAGGTGTCTCTGGACCATTAACTGCAAGTGCCATTGCTACAGCTCGTTGTTTAGTACAACCATCTTTTAAAGTGCATACAATTCTTCGTGCAATTTTACGAGATGAAGTAATTGCAGATCATAATAAAAAACAAGAAGATGCTGAAAATTCATCGCAAACTCCAACAGATATGAAAGGTGAGCTTTTAATAACAATGGTCACTCGAGCAGTTAATGCAATCGTGGGAAGGCTGAATTCCTTAGCCAATTTTGATGGAACTGATAGTAAAGTCAGCACTCTCGTTGCTGCAGCTAACAGTCACGATAATCTGTGCAGAATGGATCCGTCTTGGCATCCATGGTTGTAAACATGTTTTCTTAGAATCTACTTGTGCTTCCAATGTGAACAAATATAGAGAAATTGATGGATGTAGATGATTCTCATACTTTGTGCAAAATATATATTATTGTTTCTATTAATTTAGATTTCAATTATGAGAAGCAGCTACAGTCATTAATATTCTCTATATTTTGGACTTCTATATTTGTATGATTTTCTTTTTAACTTCACTTACTTCATTTTTATGTAATTTTGGTCTGAAGGGATACTATAAATCGTGTAAATATTATGCAGAAACATAAGACATTATTTGCAAAATGTATGTTTGAGATCCAATCAGAATGATTTGATCGCCATCATTTTGCATCGACTTATTTCAATCATTTATCCTGTTGTACGACACACATGTTTATATCGTGTAAAAATTCTCGTCTTGGGAATATTCCATCTGTATCATTTATTGTAAATACTACTTTTAAGTGTAAGAGTTATTTATAGTGATTTGTCAAAAAGTGTTTATAAGTCTAAAGGAGGAAAAAAAATAAACTATCTAAAATAATTACCTTTTCTCAATTCTGTGGCTAATTTTTTACATCCTGATAACGATTGATTGAAAAGAGGGTGAAAATATTTAAACCACGTTCCTATTAAATTCGTGTATTTGAAAATAATTATACAATTGATGTCTTACTATTGTTTATAATTATTTTTCCCTATAAATAAAGCATTCATCCAAAATTACTTCGAGGATTTTAGATTGATATTTCTTAGCATGCACAAATCACGTGCCGTTGCTTTTCGTCCACCTGCTATCTGAATATCGTAAAATCTTAACAGAATATCAGTCGTAAACAATTCGGGCAACGCTTTCAAAAGGCAAGGTACCTTAAATAGACCAACAAAAATAAAAATCTCATCTTCAATCCATTGTGGTATTAAAATACAAAGATAAACATTCATTAAAACTTACCAATGTTTGCGGCATTCCCTGTAACACAATGCGAGTTCTATCTTTACCGCATTGCACCATCAAACGTAGAAACTGAAGTATAAAATGGGTCTGTTGGGACACTTCGCCATCTCTGCCAGCTAGAAATGTAAATATCGTGAACAATCCATTTAATGCTGACAAGAGAGGATCTCTCAACACAACCGATTTCTGTCCATTGGTAGATCCTTGAGCTTGCGGACTCTGTGAGCCAAATATAGGATTGGAATCCCCGGCCTCATTTAACCGTAGAATTTTATTTGCTGATACACCAAGGGCATCGAGTTCCTCCGCATCTAGATCTCGACGTACTCGTTTCCTACTGTTCCCACGACAAGGATTCGAATTGTTGTATTCTAACGTAGAAAATATACAGTACACGCACAACTTCGCTAGCACTGAAGATTGTGGTTCAACGAGTTCTTCGCTTCTGCAAGAAATTTATTGAAATTCAACGAAATTTAAATGAAGTTACTAAAATTTATATGAAATTTGAAATACATGATAGTATCAACTTACTGTAATGAGTTATATAAATATTGTGGAATGATATGGTTGATGAGATCTAAGGTACAATTTTCGATGTCGAGATGAAAAATGGCAAAGGCTAAATCTACTGCTTGGTCCAATTCCTCCTGATAACGATATTTCAAGACTTCCTTTACTATATTCGTCACAAACCACAAAGAACCACCGGTATTTAATAAAGACTCCAAAGATTGCGTCGCTTGAATATTTATCCATCCTCGCTGATTTATGTTTCCCCATACTGTTTCTAACTGTTCCAATATAGGTTGTCTCGATATAATACTGCCAAATAATAAAAGAACATAACATAAAAAAAAGTTAATATTAACTAAAAAGAAAATGTTAACACGATACCTATGAGACATCGAAAGCACCTTCGTTTTTGATTGAGTAGGAGGATGAACATCATACTGCATTTTGCGAATGATTTGAGACATTAAACTTGATCTAGAATACAAACTTTAATTTAACTTAATAATCTAAAATATCTGTGAAACTTGATTATTCAAGAACTAACCGTTCCTTAAGATTATCTTGCATTTCGTCCCCAGGAAGTGGTGTCAAAAAATGTTGAACCATGTTCAGTGGTTTCAGAAGAGCATCTTGATGAGTAATACTCATATATGCACACAGCCAAGCTGCCGCGCAAACCGGTAAACAACAGGCAGTTGCACGTAAACCATCCAAAGCTCTCTTAACATCGCTAGCTCCAAGTACATCGCTTTCCCATGCACACAGAAGCTCTTTTACAGCCCCCATCGCTGATTGACACGCGATATGCCACTTAATATTACTAGATTTCAGATCAGGATCTGGAGAATTGATTTGTGCTAACAATGCATCTACCCTAGTAGGATCAATGTTTTGCAACATTTTTTGAGGTGATTTTGGTTGATTTCGTTCAGGCATGCATTCTCGCACCCACTGCTCGAAAAATGAGTCTCCTTCCCCTTCTTCTAAAACGGCCTGAAATATGTAATTTACTAACTTATGCAAAAATAAGTTTATTGAATAGATGATGATATTCTAAGCTTACATCAGATCCATAAGTTTGCACTATAGAACACAACATGAGAAACGATATATCAAACAACATTGCCCTTGTTGCTGCAGTCTTTGGTGGAACAGGTTCACTAATTTGCTTGCTGCACTCATTCCGTCAGAACCTGATATAACATGCTAAGTAGCGCCTCGTGAATCTTGGTGTAATCTGCGTTGAGAGTTTTCAATATTCCAGATAAAGTTGGCTCTGCTCGTACGATTACTTTAGGAATAGAAGGTGTGGACGTGGAAGATTCTAATTTTTGTAACGTTGCAATAACACCTTCTCTTCTGCCGCTTAATTGTTTTGTCTGCTTTTCTGTGACTAAATTTACTTTTTGCAATGCATTTAACAAACACTCCACGCTATTGCAGGAACACGCAGTATCCACTATATCAAGAAGTGGTGTGAATTGGAGTAATAATTCAAATGCGTCTAGAATATCTTGTGAATACTCCAATTTATCGTCTCCGTTTGAGTGCGCCACGTGCAACTCTTTCAAAATAAGGGGTACTTTTAGGAACGTAAATGCACCCCACTGTGATTCTTTGAATGTACTAGTAACATTGTGCAAGCACATTAAACATGCACGAATTATCTCGCAGTACAATCTCGCGTTTGTATAATTTTTAAGCCTTTGAACCATCAACATCTGATTAACAAATACAGACGTTTCCGTACTAGGATTTAGTAAAACTTGAACTGCGAATAAAGGTTGCAGGCAATGAGTTATAGATTCCATTTGTGACATTTCAGGAGACAAAGCTAGACAGTCAACCTCTAGATTACACAATTTTTTTAGAGAATCTTCTATTGGAACAGAAGATTTTAGATTACTAGTCTTCAACAGTGCTTCAATCTCTTGACATTTCTTTACAACTTCTATATACAAATCTTTGTCATCGTATTTTGCTAAATACATCATAGCACAGAGAAAATCAGAACTGAGCATTTGTTTCATTATACTGGCAGGTTTGTCCATCAGCTCTGTTGGTTGTGGTGTCAATGGACTATTCTGTGGCATTTTTGTTAAAGTGTGCAAATAACACTGTAATAACCAATGTACTATGGATAATACTGCAGCAGCCAAAAGATCCTCCTCTGGTTTACCACGACATGTTATTCCTACTTGTATAGATTCTAAAAATTCTAGAAGACTTAGGATACAGTGGGGTTTATGAAAGGCATCATATTTACTTATCCGTTGTAACACAGCAGCATAAGAGACCAACTGAAAATTTATATACCTAAATATTATGTCAATAAATAAATAGAAAATTATTAATAAATGATAAATACCTGAGAACTTAAAGAATGTTTCAAATATGATAGTACTAATTGATTTGGTCCAAGTCCTACTAGTGCCTGCTGTAATATGCAGTCTGCTAAATTATATACATCTCCACTAACACCCCTTGGCAAAATCTGAAAATATTATAATGTATAATGAATTTTTAGAAACAAAAATGGTAAAAGGAAGAAGAATAAATATTTTTGCAGTTAATGAACTTACTGTTTTGATATTAATACCCCATTGTAAATCACTCCAACGTTCTCTCCATGCTCGTAGTAAAAGAGCTTTAAGACTGCTGGTCTTACTAGTTACTTTAGTCTCCATAGCTGATGTTAGGAGATTACACATAATTTGTTTTATTTAAGTAACATCTGCGACATCATTAATTTTCTCAGTCACAAAATTTGGTTTTCATTCATTAAAACAAATGTATATAAAGTGATTGTAATGTATAACCTCAGAGCCATATAAAAAGCTAAAGTAATATCTAGACAATTAAGAGTAACGATTCAGAATGAGACTTGATTTTTTTTATTCGCACTATCATTCTGCCTACCTCATTTTAGAAAAATTTAATTTGTTAATAAACTAACATAATTAACATACTTTCACTTCATTTTCAGATCGTAACCTTTTCACAGCCGCTACGATCAGCGCCATGGTATGTGACCATTACAAAATATTCGAGATCAGACGCGAGTTGTTCACATCAAACGAATAATCGATATTTCATATATATCTCTCTTTAGATTTTTATAAATGTCAAATTATTAAATAACTGTCTACACCTTATCAAGTTCACCTCATTAAAATTTTCCATTCCCTGCAATAGAAAATCCTTGCAAGACATGCATTCATATGAGTGCACCCCTTAACGTGAACAGTCTTTCTTTCCAACTTATTCGAAATTTATTATTTGAAAGTTATAAATTACCATATGTGACCTTCTTTGTAATATTTTCGAACATCAGGTTATATAAAACTTCATAAAGAATGGGTGTCTGTGCAAGAAGAGCACTTACACTTACCCCATTTTACGCGTGGACAGGGTGGAATTTTTTGAACATGATGGGAATTCTTATATCAATTGGACTGTTTTACTATGCTTTCATTCGCGTATGTGTATATTTCATATAATATTCACTAACATGCTTCAATAATTATAAAAGCAAATATATGATTAAGAAAAATATATATTTATAAATATAATAAATATATATAAAATATATTTGATATTTTACAGGAATCTTAAATTTAATAATGAGCTGATTCCTCGTATATTTGATCTTGTTGCAAGAGAAATGGATAGAAGTGGCTGCAGTTTATAATTTTGTATATAACATTCAACATTACATTACAATACTTCCAATATTACTTCCAAGTAATAATAATCAGCATAAGATTATTTTTTAAATAATTAAGAAAGTCTGATGTTTCTAAATAAAAGAAATGTTTTCAGAAATTATTTATACTCTCAAATATCTTCTGTAACGATTTTATACTCAACATAAGATGAAATAAAAAATTTATTTCGATTTCTTTTGTGTGTGATAGACAAAATTACTTAGTACCAATGACGTTTTCCCAATTTCAACCCGTGAGTCAGCAGTCTAAATAAAATACGTCTTACATTTTCAGGCAGTTTAAATCGATTAGTCTGATGCAACATCGAGAACAAAAACATATTTCTATTTTGAACAATATCTTTAATCTTTCGAAACTTTCTCTTCTCACTTAATTTATTTCGTTCATAAATATTTCATCAATTCCTGTCTTAAATACTAAATTCCTGGCACCGAACTTTAAGCCCTCTAAATAGAAAGTCTTCAGATGAAGTTAAAAGTTGTCTAACCAAATTGCAATTTCTAACATTCAAAATGCGATTCAACTTCAATACCGCAAATCTCAAATCGACCTATCGCTTGCCAGGAGTTACTTCAACCAATCGCTTCGTTGCAAAGTTATAAGCTTGCGTGACGCACTTACTGCCACGCTGGCAGTTCAATTGACAATATCTGTCCGTGGATCGAGTATTCACGGTATCCTCGGATATAATAAACAGTTCCTTGTAGTGCTGGTGCATAGGAACCGGTGTACGTTCGTACAAATTCTTCAGTATGTATCAAAAAGCATCGTGAGTAACCTAAGTGAACGAGCAGAAAGAAATGTTCGAGTAAAGAGGTGCAACCAGCTTTAAAAGCCGCTCTCTCTTTCTCTCTCTCTACCTCGCTCTCTCAGTACACCCAGACCCTCAGGGTGGGGCGAGGAGGCTAAACGTCTGTCTGCCTGTCCGTGACGGGCTCTCCTTCGTTAGTCGGTTGGTGCGCTTTATCGTGTCGAGTGTAACGTCGGTGCAGTGCACGAATAGTGTTTTTTTGATGGAAACATAGTGGTTGCGGTGTATTCTATGTAATAAACACACACACACACGCACACACACATATATATACACGCAAAGTGTACGATTGGCTGCGCCGCATAGTAATCAACAAGCGTCAGGATGTCGTCGTCGGATATCAACCTCATGGATTTCCTCTTCCCGCGGGAAGACTCGTTCCTGAAAACCGACGTTAAGGACGAACCTTTCATATACCAGAGTTACAACGACGACGCCATCGCGGTGAGTCTAATGCACGCTTTTATCTCATTTTCATCATTTGACTAGCTTTTTCTTTCAATGCTCGGCCCCCTTGGACGGGTTCTTCTTTAACTCGAAGAAAACTAGTTTCTTTTTACACGCTTATACATACGATAGGAATACCTGAAGGTCTCGATAAACTATAGCCTGAACATTCTGTGCATTTAAACTTCACGTGAAGGTAATGATTTATTAAGAAAAAACAACGAGAATCATTACAAAGTAACTACCTTATTAATACTTCTTTACAATATCACAGTACAGTTTATGCCAAAGCAGGTCTCCTTTATGTAACGAAAAACTATAGGAAGATGCCTATGTATCAATACAATTTCCAGCAATGCCTGGCTTCCTGAGAAAGATACAGGATGTTCTTCAGTCGTTGGCTAACAAGGAAAGTTGAACTCTATCACAGCTTGTTATCGAGAATGCTAATACGTAGAATAATTCCCAAGGCTGGCGAAACCTTTTCAAACACCGACTCATGTTTTACGCAATGTTGTCTGTGAATATTGAAAATATAAGATGACCGGCACGCACAATGGTTCACGTCTTATTATACAAACAGCTGGGACATTTTAAACAAACCAATTACTTTTCGTACGCTCTGTTTTTTAGCAAATTGAGAGAAGATTCATTTAACGCGATTACCGTTCAGTGACGGGAGAAAAACACCGATATGGTCGGTACGTGAAAAGTAATGGTACACTTCACCACGATCTGTGCCACTTTCGTCGCGTCTTCAATTCTCCGTTCGACTAACGAGACAACGGACAGACCATCCCTTGCTTTCATTCGTAACCATTATATTCAATTACGTTCAACTAGCTACCAAGCGATACGTACAGAGAATTCAGTCGAAACATAATGGTACAATTTATGCGTTGCATCGAATGTTTACGGTAGTTGTAAATTGCCGCCATGATTAACCATGGGCTCCCGTTATTCGAGCGTTCGCCATTAATTCCTGTTAACATATGGCGTGCAGCAACCACGTGTCAACGTGCGTGTGCACCTGTCGCGCGATTACCGTAGATTTTTGTACTTCCCGGTTCTTTTAGGAACAATACATTGTGTTCTTAAAATAAACGTAGCATGGTGGAATAGAATAATTGAAAGATTTGTCGGATCATATGTAATCGATAATATATGTAATATATGTATAAAAAAGAAAATAGTCATTCGTTGTTATGATACACAAGTTTATTTCTGTGATTTTTTCAAGTACTTGGAAATTACTTAACCTACATTTAATTCGTTTCTTTGTTTTTCTCGATTAATAAGAAAATGTATTCGGATGTCATCATTACATAATCATGTCAGACTTTTTGTAACATATGGAATGGTCTAATGCACGTGCTGCTGCGGTAGCCGCCATGTTGAAATGTCTGTTACCTCTTTCATTTCAATATTTTTTGTCCTTCACTCGATACGAAAACAGATTCTTCCGTGCAAGGTAATTACCGAATTTCATTGATAAATCGATGAAATTAAGATAATCTAAAGAATAATTTACGTTAATTCTTCTTTTTGATTATGAATAATCACGTAGATAATTCTCAATATATCCGATCAATTTACAATGTTGCTCGCAACAGTGATAAATTTATGCATAGATGTCTTTATGTATAGAATCGGAACGAGAATGCGAATCTACTCATCATGGCGAACGACCTTCGGACGAGAAGTATATAGTACCGTTAAGTTACGGGACTCCTTGTGAATAGTCTCAAAAATTCTGACCTCTTATTTTCCAGGGAAACAATGACGATTAATCCACTTGCGGTACAGACAAGTTCTCTTGCATTCACGTAATTACCACGCGTAATAATTCTAAGAATTGAACAATTGCTTAAAGATTAATTAAACATTTTATGAAAATCATTTTTCAACGTGTTATCTAATTTTTGCTTTCCCCTTTATTTACAGTATGAGAGCAAAGTTTGTCGAATATGATTCACAGGAAAAAGTCTCGGACTTCGGGTAAACACAAAGGCGTATTACGTCATCCTATAGACTAGTTTTATTTCTTTCAAAAAGTAAAGAATATTCATTCGACAAAAGCGTGTTCGTATTAACGTTCTAAATTCCTTTCACGTCGAACATATTTCCTAATTTCATTGCAACGCGGGATCAGAGTTTTCACAAAAATTATACCAATTACTTTTTCTTTTTTAATCTTTACCCGCGATTCGATGAATGTATACCAGTGTAATCGTAAAATTCGAGCAAACCAGTGTTCCACGCTACTTGACTATATTTACCATTCCTCTTGTGCTTGGAAACTAGGTTACCCGGCATTGGCCAAATGCTTGATTCACGCGAACCGAGCGACAAGCGCCACGCGAACGGCCATTTTTCAAGCTTCGCTAAGCTGATTAAGCTAACTTTCATCCAGATATCTAACTGGAGCACGCATTAGTTATTTCCATTCTCAACCATAAAACAACAGATCCATCGGGTCAATAATCCGATCTAAATGGAACGCCATGCACGGACCAGAAGCTAACGAGTACATGCGATGCAGTCAAGTAAAAGTACCATTCAAAACAAACTTCATGCACGCTTGGCTCCTTTACGTGCAACGTGCAGTAAATTTCTGACGTTGGAAAACAAATGGTTCATAGAAGAAACTGGCCTCGGTCCTAGTGGATTATGTTATACAGACCATGAGATAGCGAGATCGTAAAATCGGTCAAGAATCATAGTAATCATCTTTCGGGAGAAAGGAGCCGACAGAGTACTGACGCATGGGAACCTGAACACGCTCACAGGGCCGTGCAAAGGAATTTTTAATCCAGGTTCAATTTACTTTAAACGAAAAATATAATAAATACAATAAAAAATTATAATATACTAAGAGTTATAATATATAAATTAAAATATAATAATAATTTATATAAACTTTTATACATTTATATTTATCATATAAATACACGAATATGAATATTAATACTTTTTTCGTATTTTTATATTATTATATCATTTTCCAGCCACCCAAAGATCACGTTTCCTTCCTATCCTGCGGAACCCTGAAGCGAAATTCAACCTACGGTCCTGACCAAACCTACGACCTTAAAACATCAGTCGGTGCCGCTACAGGATGACTAAATTTACGACCTTGCTATGTCATAGCTCATACCGTGTACCAAAAGCCGAAAATAATTCTACTCTGTTCTCCCTTTGCTTTCTGAAGGCGGAAGAGTGGCCAGCCGACACGGACGACTTCCTGGACTCCATCTTCAAGCTAGAGGATAATCAGTTCAACCTCATCGATAATGATCTAGACGCGATTCCATCTTCCTCGTCGGATAGCGGGCTTTCAAGTGCGCTGAGTCTCTCCTGCGAGCAGCAGCTGAGCCCGCTTTTGCCGATCGAGGAAGATCAGGTAGAGATCAGCAACTCCGAAGTGAGTAGTCCGCAGAATATCGTGGACTTTGAATCTCTGGGCAGCCCTAATCAGTCGATGGCCAGTGTGGACAGTCCAGTTCGATCGGTGGTCAGTTCTAACATCGGTTCACCTGCCACAGACATTGCTGAAGAAATGGACGTGGAACACACCCTCGTGGCCGTGGTGAACCCTAGCAACACGTTGACTGATGCTAACGCGACCATAATAGCGGAGCAACCGGTTGTCGATTTAGGTAAGGACTCTAATTTCGCTGGATTTATCTTCTACGGCACTTACTATTCCTTATCTAATGCTTGGTTTTCCTTTACCCGAGAATGGCTCAACTAGGAATTGTGGAGCACGCTTTGTGTCGGATGCTTGACGTTGGATGTTAGCTAGATTTTTGAAGTCGATGAATTATTGAACTTTGATAATAACGAAGATACGGATGAAGAGAATCTTTAGGATTCGCTGAGAAACGAAGATCCGTTCTAATAAATTCTGAAGGGTTTTGTAACTCTAGAAATGTATTGCAATTTATACCGACTGCTGCGCTGAAAGCAATTTCCATACCTGTGCCCTCCTCTTGTCATCATGATGAAACGTTCTCTCGTCGCTTGTCTATTCGTGAAAGCTGAAGTTCAAGGAATCCACAGTTGCAATTCGATTTGGACAGATGTTAACGTTTAAGTGTCTATCGGGTTTAAGCAAATCGATATCTGTTGGAATTCGGCAAGGTTATCGTGATTGATCCGAAAAATATGGATAATGTACTATCCATTTCAAGTTTCTAGATTGAATAGAATCCTATCAAAAATAGAAAATAAGAGAAATAAATCCTTTCCTTCTAGACAAAACACCGAAGCAACAGCATATTCACATTACGTCTCAAGAAAATAACACGATAAACGTCCGCAATATCACGTGCAATGGGAAACGGAATATCAGGCAATTGATACGCGTTACACCAATGGGTTCCGGAAACCCAAGATCGATCCTACTGCCAGTAACCCTAAAAGACATGAAGGAAGTTCGGACCATCAAGATCATCAATGCCTCGCAAGCCAGAAATCTCAAAGGGTTCAAGATCAATCAGGCCAATATCATTAACAAACCCGTTCAGGTACCTAAATCACATAGACGAAGTTCTTCTCTATGTTAGCTAATATATCTGATTCGTTCTAAATTTTCTCTTCGAGGAAACGAAAGCGAAACCCTGATCGACGTTAATAGAACTTTCATACAGTTTCACCCTGACACTTCAGTTGCATAATTACACGTGCGTTTCTTTTCTTTTCTCCGGTCGATCTGTAGATGAACATCAAGCAAGAAGACTCGAGCAGCGAAAAGGGTTGCAATTCGAGCGACGAGATCTCGGAAACAGATTCCCCATACCCTAGGCTAAAACTGAACGCCGAGGAGAAACGTCTGCTGCAAAAAGAGGGAATTACGCTGCCTACTCATTATCCTCTGACGAAGCACGAGGAACGCGAGTTGAAGAGGATCAGGCGCAAGATTCGCAACAAAATCTCCGCCCAAGACTCGCGGAAGAGGAAAAAGGAGTACGTGGATGGATTAGAGGATCGTGTGAAGCAATGCACCGAAGAGAACATGACGTTGTTGAAACGCATCAAGGCCCTACAGTCGCAGAATCAGAGCCTGGCCGGGCAACTGAAGAGATTGCAAGCTCTCTTGCAAAAAGGCAACAAGAGTGCCCAGCCTGCCACTTGCTTGATGGTCTTGCTGCTCTCATTGGCCCTCGTGGCTGTGCCGAATCTGCGACCGCACTCCAATTCCAACAATGAACTCACGCAAGAGCAGGAACAGCCAGAAAAAATGCCACCATTAGCGGGTAAGTGCGATGCTTCTTATCTCTAGTATCTACACCGTATAATTTTTCACAATTAAATTCACAATTTAATTACAAAATTTCAATTCCTTTTAAGCGTCAGGAACTTCTATTGAGATTATAGGTTTATAATTGAAAAATAACTACGATATACATATTCTCTTTTAAATTCTTTTATTACTCAAGGAAGGTATATCTATCTTTTAGTGCTTCTCTAGAGCGATTGACCGACTCGTGAGAGGGTGTCAAGAGGATATGTGACACAGTTCGCCTAAACCCTCGGTTCTTATCTAATGTTTATATAAACATTCGTTCTCGGAATGTAGGTTTTTTAAACTATTTATTCACACCTTATATCCTACATTGATTTTTGTATATAACTAAACTTATCTTTTCAACCTGTTCACATTAGGAGCCCTATAAATTAACCAAGTTCATGGATATTGGTTTCGAGTTAATTCTACGTGCGTTATTCAGCAGCCATCGCATCAGAAATAAAAGAAAGTCTACAAGAAACATCTTGACTGGTACCTTCACGTTTGTCGGACCCTTTCGAACCGTTATATTAGCGGTTACACAGGTTGAATGAGTTTGATAGCACAGTCGGCCCTGGGAACATTGAACCTCATGAGATTGTGAAAGGCACAGCCCTGTTAAATATTTTTTTTTTTTTTTTTTTTTT